GGGAAGATGTGGCATCAAAAGCGAGCGGCACCCAAGCCTGATATGCTCACCAAAAAAAAATTGGAATAGACTGTTATGTATAGTGTGTATTCCATTGGGCCCCGGGGTTCAGTTAAAATTGTAGAAATCCAAGTGCGGAAGGTTATCCAGGCTAGTAGGTTGGAGGCCATCGCTAGTAGCTTGGAGGTGAGTCTTTTTCGGAGCTCCGCAGTGGCCATCGACCGACCGTTGGCGCCTGCGGTGGCCACCGGACGCTTCTCATTCGGAGCCTCGACCGGTGTCCGGCGACTGAGGGAAGGTGCCAACTCGGTGCCAACGAATGAACGAAAACATGGACAACTGGACATGGAAAAAGAACATGTAAAACAAAAAAGATCATTGTGTTGTAAAACATGGAAAGACCATTGTATTCAAGACCATTCTTTCACAACTATGCTCTGCACCACTCTGGAGAGATGCGGATCACATCGATCCCGTCACGGCCGAGATGCGGATCGGACAGCAGCTGTGTTCGGAAAGCTGTGGCGAAGCCGGTGACTCCGTGAGGAAAGCAGTCTGGCCCACCAAACTGACTGGTGCGACTCGTAGGGAATAAGGGAATGAGCTTCCCATAGAGATTCTATTGGATCCAGCCACCCTCAGCCACCCTGCTTTCGTTGCACCAGTCAGCAAAGAGTGGGTTCCAAAATGGACAGAAGCTTCTCAGGCACCAGATGCCGAGATTGAGCGTTTTCTCAGCCACAACAGATGGGCCAACCCACCATGCAAATGTTCCACACATACCAGGACCCATGGTCGGAGTAGTTACAAAAAAACACCCATTGGGTCATCAATCGACGTCAAACACGACCCAAAACGTTCACCTCACGCAACAAATCAAGAACACTGCGTCCGCCCTTCTCTACCCCGGCGCCTCATCGCTCATCTTGGCCAAAAGAGATGTCACGGTGAAGGGCTCCACCGAGCCTTGCACCGGCCTCGCATCCAGTGCAGGTCTCGGACCTCCAAGACATGCCTCCCTACCCTCTGTTTTTGGGAAACATCTCCATGGTTTGGGATCACTTTTGGGATTCAGTGGAGGGTCTAGGCTAGGTCAAGAAACGGTCGGGAAAGCAGTGAAAAGAGTTAGCTACATGTTTGACTACAGTTGCTGGCAGTCCGACCCAAAGTTCCCACGATGAACTTGGGATCTCCACTCACTTCTTTGTGCCTGGTCCAGCGGACCGCTAGTCAACTCGGTGTATTTTTTGGAGAAGAAATGGTCCGCTGGCGATGAACCTGGGGGGTCCACTCACTTCCAAACGACACTGCGAATGTCCAGTTTCTCGGTGTACAGACTCACCATCGAGTCTGTCAAGTCCGCACAGGATCATCCCCCTACACCACCACTTCCTGTTCGCCCTGTCCTGTGCACCCAGTCCGGCTCCAAGGCCAAGCTAAACCCAAACATCACCCAGTCCAGTGCTCAACATCGGCTCACCCCAAACCTCAAATCCTTTTGTTCAAACCAAACGGACGTCACAGAGAGTCGGTGTCTGCCGTTTCCGCAGCGGACCTGAGCAGTGTCCGCAGCCGAACGCTCCGTCACTGAGAACCTTCGGCCCTGCCCCCACGACGGGGACCGGTGCCTGAAGGAAGCTCCTTCAAAAAGACCGTCCAAAATAGAGGGCCACCTGGACGCCGGTTCGTTCGGTGCTTCGTGTGGTGTCCGGAGTGTCCGGTGCGGTGTTCGTTGGCTCCGGTCTTGAGAGCTTGAAGGTCCGAGAGCCCCATTTCAACCAACCATTGGGGAAGAAGAGATTCTGATTGGAGGGATTGGCCATCGAAAGGTCAAGCTCGGTCTGGCCCCACCTGAAAATATATCCCATGATTTTTCGACACGAGTTACGCAAACAACACGGGCACGAGTACGAGCTACCCAAAATCCAGGGAATCCAGACAAATGATCAAGCTGTTGAAGAACATCGAGATATTGGGTCCGTATTTGAACAGGGAGACCCCGGGCGCCCCGATCGCTGGGTGGACTGGTCTATGTCCATGTCCCGAACCGGGGTCGGAAACGCCTCTCCTCGGTGCCGGTCTCCCATGTCGACCGAGCGTCAAAGCACCGAACTCTCGAGGTCAAAGACACTGCTACTCTCTAAGGCATCCGCGTGTTAGGGCGTTGCTTCATTGCAAAGGTGCAGAATTCTACACTGGGTGGTCAGAGAATCAAAAAGGCCTGGAAGTCCAAGACCATTTCAAACATTTCAAGACTTGTCTTTGGGTGACCAGAGTCTAGGAATCTTCTTTACTTCGGTGGCGCCGTTCAGGGCTGGCCAGGCGCTGTTCGTCCGTTGCTCCGATCCCCTTCGCCGGGACACTCGGTCATTGGCGCATTGGTGAGTCGAGCTTCCACCACATTCTCCTCCGGTCGAGGGCGTTGGGTCCGGGCACGGAAAGGACCGGAGAAGCTGACGGGTTGCCGCAGCATCCAGAATGGAAGGGCGAGGGTTTTCAGCGAGACCCCGAAAGGAAGCTTCACTGGCCTCGTTCGTTCTTCACTTGGCAACCATCTAAGTCGCACGGAATCTGTTTCTGCCACCTTCGGTGGCTGAGAAGGTTAGGCATCCAAACAGAAGTTCTTGACTCTGCCTGGACCCTAAACTTCCCCCAACACTGCCTGGACGTCATCACCAAAATCCCCGCGCGGCCCGCGCTTCATTCCAAAGAAATGCTTCAAACCCTTTCCTCGCCCAGATAGATTCCAATACCACTTGGACACCAACTTCAGTACGAGCGGAACTGCATCAGCGATCCGTTCTCCCACCCCAGACCGGGCCCCGCGCCACAAACCTGGGGCCGAAACGATGGAGGACAAGGTTGACCCCACCCAAGAATGCCTCCCCATCGTCCGAACCCATCGAAGGTCCGTTCCAATCGCGGTGAGCTTCAGTCGAGTTGGCGATTGTTCAGTCCTCATCCATGGATGCTGCATCCATCGACGCCATGGCGGTCAACGAACGTCAACGGGTATTGAATTGATGTGTTGTGGGCTGGATTCTCCATGGGCCGGACGGGCTTACTGACATGACTGGTGCATGGGAAAAATACGCTTTAAATTTAAATGAAAGGCATTTTTGGAGTGACAACAAGGGTCATTAAGCTGAGTGGAAATCGCATGGTGGAAGCGTGTCAAATATCTCGTCGCTACAGTAAAAAGTCTGCTGCTGGGTTGCACTGTAGCGTGTCAGATTCCATGACAAGGCGGTTGTTGGTGAAGTAGTCCATAGTTTTGCCAACAATCGAAGAGAAAATGCCACTGTCAAATTCCTCGCCTTTCTTGAGCTTCTCTGGAGACGCGGTAGATTCCATCAAGAGATCCCCTTTGGCGCAGAAAACCGTCAATCCGAGAGCCCGAGTCAAACCTTGGAGAGGTGCGTCTGCTTCAGCGTGAATTAGGTGTCAATCTGATTCAATCTTCAAAGTACTTCAAAGATTGTTGATACTACGATCCATTCTCGCGCCATTCTCGGCTTGATGAAGATTCCTGAAAACCACCTGGCGCGGCCCAAAAAACGGCCAACTCCTGAACCACTCACGCCCTCTGATACACTCGCCGCCCGCCCATCGGCACCTCTTTTGCTGCGCGAAGGCACTCGCCCATGCCGAAAGGCACTCAGCCAAGGCCACTGGCAGTGTGCGGCGAAGCGCGAATGTCGTCACGCGAAGGTCGTGGAATCTCACCACCCCATCAGTTTTGAGGGGGCCGATGATCTGATTGTAAATACATGTCCCATGGATGCAACCTTGGAACCTTCCACCAAAGGTGCTACAAGCATCATTCATGCTTCGAAGCAGCTCTGACGGGTGAGACCTGCCGCTCCTCAATGCTATCCAGGCATGCCGACGATTTCTCCGGGCGACATTCGGTGCAATGCAGCCAGACCTTCCAACCATTGGGGAATGGCTTGAGAATTGCCTGCTCCGAAGTGATTCTACCAGGGAATCCAGGCAGCTGGACACTGAGGCGTTTCAAAACTTTGGGCGCAATGCGGGGATTCCCTCGCGCGGCCTGCGCAAATCGCCAAACGCTGCAGCGCACCCGTTCCCAGTCACAGGTCTTAACTAGCTTTCGCAAGCAGGGCATTTGGCTTTGGATGCCTGAAGCAAGATCACCCTGATCCCCACGCTGAAATCTCAGGTGTGCTTCTTGCACATCTTGAAGTTCTGTCTCCACGTCCACGAGCAAGGTCATCTCCTTCATTTCAGGACAAAGAGGATGCGTTCTGATGCTTCTTGTTGTGCCTCCCGATGCCACCGAGGTGCAATCTTCATGTGTTGTCTGTTGCAATAGATTGGGCCGAAGTGCTTGAGGTATTGCCTCATCTGCAGCCTCAATTTGTGGCCGACAATCAGGATCCTCCTTGAAAGCAAGGAGGTGGTAGGGTTCTTTGGCACCAAACAGCCCTGGAACAGGCACATGGAAAATATCAGCACCGACTTTGATGTCTGCCGACCCATTCAGCAAGATGCGTAAACCTTGTTTGGAGCACTTGGCAGTGGCCGCCAAGACTTCTTGACCCCTGCCAAAATATGTATGTGTATATACATACACATACTATCATTGTATATTGTGTTATATATATAGAAAGAGAGTGAAATTGAGTGTAAAAAACAACTCCAAAAAAAATGAACACAGTCGCTTGCTAAGGAGCACGAAGGAGTACCAGCATTCGCTGATTTGGATGCCGCATTGATCGAGGACTTCATGAAATCGCTAAAACGCTTTCTGTCCTCAGCAACAATTAAGCGTTCAAAGGATCTGCCCACAAGGCTGACTTCAGATAGTATCCTCGTTCGAAAGATCTGCTCAAAACAGCAGCGGCTAAAGAAGAATACCAAAACACCTGTATAGGTGTGCTTTTTGTGGAAACCCATATTTCTGATGGCTTTCCACGTTTCGTGGATGGATGTTTGATAAACAAAAAGCCTTCTTAAAAAAATGCCAACCGGGAATCAAATGTTGCAAGCATTCGCTCTCTCGAGCCACATTCATTCCGCTGTCCAGCAGCACCTGGAGCAGCGGTGGGTGAATTCAGAGAGGGCAAACCCCAAACCTTCTGCATTCACCTATTGGGAGCTTTTCTATGCTCCTGGCTGCCCCGGAAGTCCACCCTCCCTTCGCCGGAACCGCCGGAACCGGCGGAACCGCCCTTCGTCGCCTCGCCATCGCAGACCCCGCGTAACATGCTCCGGAAGCTGGAGATCAAGGAGTCAGCATCAGCTGTATCCAGGAGTGCATCGATCTGTCCTCGAAGCGCGACATCCATGAGCACCGAAGACACGGTCACGAGGAGAAACAAGAAGAGTTGCGCACAGCACAGCTGCATCACTTCAACTCCGGGAGCGAGCACACAGAAATAAATCAGCAGCTCCAAAGTTGTATACAACACTTGAAAAGGAATAGTCATCCACGGATCCAGAAAGGCAAAAACGAGGCAGAAACGAAATGTGATCGCAAATCCTTGGTTCATTGCCACATTGCTGGCATTCCCAGGGAAAGCTGCCGCTAGAATCCCTCCCATGCACAAAACGTGCAGTAGGTAGCTTGCAACTTTGAGCTGACAAGCGGTAAGGTGCACGGAATCCTTGGAAACCGTGGAGTAGTGCACATAGGAGATGATGCACATGACAAATAGAGCCATGCTGTCAAGACCAGGAGCTTCGAAGACCTTGTAGCCAAAAAACAGGCTCAAGACAAAATCTACATGACAAAGGCCACGGCAAAAGAACTTGTAATTGGTCCTGCGAATCTTCAAGAACTCTTCTTCAACTCGAGCTTCTTTGGCATCATTGTGCGCAGCCATGAGGACATGCCCCATCACGGAAACCATACATTGCTTCAGCTTTCCCCAATCCTTCTGCGTCTGCCACAAGTGCACTGGTAGCCACACAAGGGTCAAAGTGCAAAGCCCGCTCAAGGCATTCATGGCATTCACTGGACTCGCCGTAATCTGTCGTTCCAAAGACCCCCAAGACCCTCAGGCACTCTTCATCAGTGCCTGTGGTTTGTTGATGTTTGTTGCACGTGTTTTGCTGGATGAAAACCATCGCACTTGGGGTCCAGGTCATCACACTTGGAGCCAGGTCACTGTGAGCATCGATGGAAAACAGGACACTGAACGGATGGGAAACAGCAAGGCAGCGAGCCATGTCACCAAGTTCCTCACAAGTTGGGTACGACAAAGGCTTGCTTTCGCGCCGTAATCACGACTCACCTGGCCTTCGAACCGCGTCCGGCGAACCGAAGCCAGGTGGAACCCACCCGCAAACCCACCGAGTCCCACCACCCGACCGGGCCGAACTCGGCGTTCTTCGGCCCGGCGCGTCGCTTCTTTCGCCGCGACCGGGTCGCTCCGTCGTGCCACGGCGCCGTTGGGCGCCGTGCTCCGTTTCGGGCGCCGTGGCGGCGAAGGCCCTGACGGCTGGAGGGTGGGGGGGCGGAGTGGGGGGCGGGTCATGGAGCCTCCTCGGAGCGCGGCACAGGGGTGCCGCGGAAACATCGTGAAGATTAAGATTAAGTGGCCACAAGCGGGCCATAAGCCAGATATCACCCCCCATCCCCAATGGTCCAAATCCCACGAGCCCTAGAATACACATTCTCATTGGTTCTCATGGATGTTCGACTGATCCTAGGGACCCTGGGGGGCATATTTCGACCAAAATGTCAGCACATCCTCTTTCGACTTGTTGATTCCAAACATTACTATATTATACTTACTATATTTGTAGTGCCTTCACCCGGTGTTTTGTTTGGAATGACCCATGTTTTGTTCAAGCAAAATACCAAACCCGTTGCCGACCCAGTCGGCGTGCACCGTGCAATCCCGCCGTGGCCCACGATCGAAAACGCAGAGTTTGGGTGCTGACAATCCGGTTTGGTTAAAACAAGGTCCACATCGGAAAACGGTCAGAAAACGAAGCGTTTGGGGACCAAACGGGAGTGTTGGGTCCTCCACTCCTCTTGTTTCCTGGCCTCCTGATGTGCCTTTCTTGCTAAGCCGGATGCCATGGGCGCTTTGAATCCACATGACCAATGTGGCAACCTCAGACCTGGACATGTGGACATTCACAACTCCGTTCCTCCGTTGCTTTTTGTGCAGAATATATAGGACTCAGGATGAAGCACCCCCCAAAAAAAATAGGATGAATCTCTCTATTCAAAGTACCAAGTCTGCTGTCACCCTGCCACCCTGCCTGCCACCCTGCCTGCCACCCTGCCACCCTGTCACCAAAACATATGATGAATGCCACCCTGCCTGCTGTCTCAAGTCTCAAAGTACCAATCTTTCACAGCTTGAAGGAACTGGAACACTTGCGTCGCCACCTCCTGCAGCGGTGAGTTCCACCGGTTCGCGGTTTCGTGGCGTCTCACACGCGTGCTCGCCCAAGCAGGAAAACCAGGTCGCAACCACCCTGTCGCTCCAAGGAAAGCCCGCACAAAGCCTCCAGAGTCAATAGATCTGACATGCTTGACAAAGTCTTAGATGTGTTCTGACAGACATGAACTGGCATGTGTTGTGACATTTGTCCTGCCGAGTCCTGCCGCCAAGGCTGACATGTATTCTGACATATCTTCTGGATTCTTCTGACATGTACTTCCAACCTAGTTCTGACACGTGCTCTCGCATGAAATCTGGCATGTCAACGTTATAGACATGTTTTGTGACATATGGCCTCGCTTAGGTTCTTATGCGTGAGTTCTGACAATTGCTTGGTCATAAACCCTGGCACTTGTCATATGTTCCGACATGTGTTTTATATATAGTATTCTATATATATATTATTCTGACGTTTGTTCTATGTGAGTTTGTCAGGCATGTATTCTGACACTTGTTCTGGCACGGTGTTCCTATACGGTGTCTCTGGGCCATGTGACGTTTGTGTCTCTCACCGTGCTTTGCAAAGCCGGGCGGAAGAGGAAACATCACAACAAACCCGAACACCTGACCGAGTGACGATGAAATTACATCACCGTAGACCCCAAACAGGTGGGACGACGAAGCATTCCCAACGTCCACTTTAACAGTAAACTCTTTGGAGAAAAAGAACACATCTGAACTCCTTTCGTTTCGCCGCTTTCCCGGCGTGAAACGCCGCTTCGCCGCTCCACTCTGCGGTCTCCGGGCGACGACGAAGACGAGGTGAGCACGGCGGTGCCCCCTCCTGGTGCTTCAAGTTCTTGTCCGGATGCCAGCTGAGGCAAGCAGCCTTACGAGCGGTTCGGGTTCGTTCGTTTCAGCGCAGAACAGTGAGATACATGACGCTCATTCACTAAATGGGCGCTGGCAGGATGTCGCAGAAAACACCGGCGTTTCAGGTGGCGGCTTAAGGTCGCGTTTCTGGTTTTTTTCGGATGAGCTTTGGCGAACGAAAACCTCGGTCATGCAGGATATGATAAAGGGTCTTCACGGTGAGAGTTCACTGACGTGTCGTAGTCGTAGAGATGCTTCCCAAGTTTGACAGGCGCTTCGAGAAGGAACACGTACCATAAAGTCTCTCCATCATTTTAGAGGGGCGTTCTACTGTAAGTTGCGTTCGTGACTTCGGGAAGACAGAAGAAACACCCTGTTTATCCCCATCGAATGTCCCGAAAGTAAAACCTTTCAAGGGTATACAGTGACCCCTGATTCTCAATCTTTCCTGAGCCACCTGGCCATATAAGCTCGCCGGCGATGCGCCAGCGGCTTCTCTCTTGACCTCGGCTCCGAGTCGATGCCCTCGGGATCCGAGGTCGGCCACAAACCGAGTTGACACTCCTAGAAATCATCCACGGGCACCCACCTGGGACTAGTCTGAAGGGACAACTCATGGATCGTCCATGGTGATATGGGACTGGCACCACCTGGGCCCCAGGTCTTCGAAAAGACTCGATGGTCCTCCGAGAAGACTCGGGGCCAAAACCCTTCCCATCCACTTGAATCATGGTATAATTGTATAATATTCAGGGAGGCTAGAGCCACTCGTCCGTGCCCCTGGCTTCATCACCTTCTTTCTAGAGTTCTCGTCGTGGCCTGCCCCTTCCACTGTGATGCTCCGTGAGATGGCTGGGGAAGATTGAAATAAATTGGAAACTGATTGAAACTTATTTCTGGAGCCGTGCCGTCAAGTGCTCTATTCTAAATTGATGTTGTGTCCTCTTGATGCAAAGCTTGCTCACCAGGATCTTGGGGTAAGCCATGACTTCAGTGCCTGAAGGGCGCTGAAGAAGATGGCGGTTGTCCACGCGATGTTCCAGAAATCAAAAGAAACCATCCCACCTGGGGTGGTGTGGCAAAGAAACCAAAGGAAGGGTGAAAAAAAACAGAACTCCTAGCACCCTTGGGTCAATCCTGATCTGGATTGCAAGTGTTGGACGTGGACTGCACGTGGACCTCTATGAACCACACCAAGGAGAATCTCAGATCTCACAGGTCACGCATGTCCTACACGACGCCAAGTTGCTTCTGCATGTCCTTGTAGACGGTCTCTGCCACCCGGCGTGCTTTGTCGCCCTTGGGCCATTCCACGTTCTTGGGTAAGGAGAGCTCCTGGCACGAAAGAAAGAAAGATAGATGGATGGATGGATGGATGGATGGATGGATAAGATAGATAGATGGACAGGCTTGCTCTATATAGATATATATTCAAATTATCGCACATGTTTCCTTACTTTCCTTTTACCTGGCTCTGTCAACTCTAGATTGCAAAGCAAACCAAAACACGGCTCATCCACGGCCCACCTCTCCGATGTTCCCGTTTGGCCCAGACTTGGGCTTCGCTGATGCCTTTGCACCCTTGGGCGCTAAGCGAGGCCGATGGCCTCGTGCGTCGAGCCGGTCGCGACGGCGCGGCTGCCGAGCCTTGACCTGGCGGGAAACCACTGAAGCATCATCCATGGACCACAGAAGAATCAAGTACGGTTGAATGGCCCTTTTTCTCGTTTGGGCTGGGGAGGGGTTTGCCTCTGGCGTCGGTTCAAGGACCAAAACCGCAGATCCTTTTGGCGCCTAACTTCCCAGCGACTCCGGACGACGGATCCCAGGCGCTTGAACGGGCATGAAGTCCGGAGCACCATCCATCCAAGGGTGCTGAGACCCCATGAGTCGTTGCATCAGCAATGCTACCTTCATTTAAAGCCTTCTTCAGCCCAGCTACCCTCCAGGCCACCCCAAGCCCGACCACTGACCTCCAGGTGCTAGACTCCATTTCTTCTGCTTCGGCGGAGGCCTGGCCCGCCATCGCTCGCAGCAGGAGGAACTAGTCTTCTGCAGTGGTTTTGCAGTTGTTCTGCAAAACGAGTGTTCAGTGTTTAGCGTCAAACTAGGATTGGAAATCAGAGCTCAATCAAAGCTTCGCAAGCGCAAATCAATTTGGAAAGGCTGCCAAGGTGTGTGTATCATATATGTCCACCAAAATGCCACTCGCTGCAAATGCAAGTCGGCCAACTCTTCCGTCTTCTCTTTCTGAAAAAGATAACATTGGACATGAAATCCACTCCCAAAAGCAAGACCGACGTCAGAAAAGGAGCTTTCAAAAGAACCAGAAGGAGAACAAAGCACGTCTGCCTGCTTGGATCAGGTATCGCCTTGTAGATGAAGGCTTTCGGCCTGCCCATCAGCTCCCGAGCTTTCACAAACAATCAGCCCTTGAAATCTGGATTCTTGGTGGACCCAAGTGCTGGAATCCCGTGACGCACGACAGGGCGCCACGCGACTCAGGCCGCGTTGGGCTGGTAGTGCGTGGAAAAAGTTCGGTCTGACTCTGACCCCATGGTTTTCCCGGAATGCCAAGCACAAACAGTCACGCGGATCGGATCCCCCGACGGACCCGGTGTCCACCAAACACCACCACCACCGAGGTGCATCATCACCCCATAAAGTGTTCTTTTCAGTGTTCTTCTGTGTGTGTGTGTGAGTAACAAAACCTCGGATGTCCTTAAAAAGGTAGTATAAGACATTATATATATATATGTGTATATATATATAACTTAAATACAGTATATAACCTCTTCTATGGCTCCGTCACTCCTACCCTCTTTTTCATCTACATTCCTCTTCTGTACTGCCCATGTCGGTCACACCTACCAGTGGCTGTGGGCACTTGCCGCGGCTCCGAGGCACCAGCAGCCTCGGGGGCGCCCGGTGGATCCTAGAAATTGTTCAATCTTTGTTTATATTCCAAATGTTTACACTCTGACGAACACATCACATGGAAGTGGATGGCATGGTCTCTTGGAAGACTACTTTCCTTTAGAAACAGGGGGGGTTCATGGGTTTTGCACTTCCATGTTAGTGAGTCGGAGTGTATATACTGTAAATATATATAATGTATGTTGCAATATAATATTTATATATATATATTAATATACAAAGAGTAATGGTAATAATACAATAAATAGATTTTAAAAAAAATATCTTTCATCGTGTTCCCCTTTACTTTCTAATTGGATTTCAAGCCTTGGGACGCCCGACAAAGGCAGTCTCTTCGGGAGGAACTTCCGTGGCCTGAAGCAGAAACGCTGCGAGTCTTCTGGGGACATGAAAGGTACCTGACCATCCAAGGGGCAACACGAGATTCCAATGAGTCGTCGAAGCAAATGACCTGGGGAACCAGAATGGTGCAGAATGGTCCAGATCATCGTTTATGGTGTCCCCTCTTCCACCATTGGCATTGAATAAGGAAACCGTGCCCAGAGTAGAGGGTCCTTTATAAAGCTACTATGACTGGCTGCAAGCCCGGTTGTCCCCGTTTTTGCCCAAAACTCGATTCCATACCTCGGCATTCGGCATGTCTCAAATTACGCCAGTATCGACCCCTTCATGCGCACAGGCACCTCTTCATTTGCTTGAAGCAAGAACCCCAGTAGCTTAGCTCGGGAAAAACGATGGGCTTTGTAGCTCGGGCTTGGTTTCTTTATGTTGGCCGCAGTCGGTCTTGGACGGACGACCTGTGTTCGCTCCGGCTCCAAACTGGTTGCATAGTTTTGCAGACATGGCTTTTAAGACTCAATGATCACCAAGCTGAGCTTGGTGATTTAAGTCATAAGGCATGGAAATAAAACGTGTTCCAGAACATCACCGAGCTAAGCCACCTCAAAAAAATGCCTTGGAGATTAAGCTAGCTATGTTGACCTGAGGGTTGATTTACCAGATGTGACATGATAGTCATCTCAAATAAAATACTTACTTGACCTAAATCCAGCCAGCCAATCCACTTGATTGGAAGTGTCTTGGACCGCGCAACATGGCCTCTGTGGCCGCAGTCTCTGTCTTGTCAGGAGCGGCCGTGGAAGCCTGGAGCGAGTGCAACAGAATTCCTTGTCCTGGGAGTCAAAGACTGTTAAAAGGAAGGGTCTTTAGGTGACCCGAGTCTAGGAATTTCCTGAACACTTCAGTCGGTCAAAATAGAGGCGAATGAACAAACTGGACTTCGAATGGGCTTGTAAAATGGTGTGACTGATGACAACCCCTCTTCTGCCGAGGGACCACAAAGAATATGTACTTTAGTGACTCATGTTCCATTGCGTTTCCGGTGGTACGAGGAGTGGAAAAGTAGGACTGTGTTCCGAAAGAGAGAATAACGAGTTGGCCTGGTCGGTAGCACCCTTCTGCTCTGTCTGTGTCTCCTCGACTGCAATCATCCAGCGCTCACCGGTTTCCAGGTTGGTCTGCACCATATTTGCCTCAAGCTTCCCATTGAATGAGGAATTCCAAGCACACCTCAAGCTTCTCGTGTCTTTCACAATGCGCTTCACTGATCTTTGACCTAAGCCTTGCACCACATCCACCTCAAACTCGCACCCATTCACATTGTAGCCTGAGCCAAAACGATGAAGAACTTGCGAAACGCAACTGGAAGGCAAACCCTTGAGGCAAAAAATGAGCATTGCCATGCCAACTCGCAAAAAAAAGTAGCACATGGCTGGGAGCCCGAACGGACCACCGGCTGCCCCGAGTTCAGGGCCATAAAGAGCTGGCGCTCCGCTTCCTGAAGGGAGAAGATTCGGCGACCTATTTGAATAGCTCTGTCCAGAAGGTCCCACAGCTGGTCCCACAGCTGGTCCCTTTTCGTCGCCCAGACACCGCGGCTTTTGGACGCTGCACCATCCAACTCGTCAGAGTGGGACGAATTAGGACCGTCGCCGATCCCCGCTGCTCGACGCCCACGATCCCCATCACCGGTGAGATGCGACCACATCGCCGGTCTTACGATCTTCAGCAAGTCCCTCAAGGTAGGCCCACACCCATGAGGGTTCACCATCCGGCGGTCTAGTCTTCAGGAGCTCTTCAATTGCTTTATTAAAGCCGGGCATCCCGTAGAAGACCGGAGTTCTGGTGAGTGGATCGTGAAAACCCAGTGTAAACAGCTCTCGCTCAGGCTCGTCCTGCGCAGCTGGCATCTTCTCGACTGCTTTAAGCCCAGCTTGTCCAGCTTGCTGCTCTGGACCACTGGAAAGGGTCATCTTTCCCTCAGACTTCGTTTCACCTGTGCTATCCAAAACTTTGCTATGAGTTCCAGGCAAAGCAGTTCGAGGCTGCTTCCGCAACTGTGAGCTCGAAAGTTTGGCCTGCACCTCTTCAGACTGTTTCTCTGGCTGCTTTCGCTTGAGAGCTGTCTTTGCCGGGGTTGTTGCTGATTCTGTGGTGGTCGTGGGGGCAACGTGGTTTTTTTCAGGAGCGCTTGGTTTGGTGTTCGGACTCGCCTTCTTGCTTGAGCTTGAGCTTGAGCTCGAGCTCGAAGAAGAACTGGAAGGGCTGTTGGGAGCTTTTGGACGGCTGAAATCACTCTTTCCCTCCACAGACTGATTCATTGCATCACTGCTATCCCTCTCTTTGCCCTGACTTCCAGCATTCCCTTTGTTGTTTGGCTGCAGCTGCACTTTGAGAAATTCAGACTGCTTCTGAAGGCACTGTTTATCTTTTTCGAGCTGTGCACAGTGTTTCTCAAGATTCAAAAGCTTTGTCCGCAACTTGGAAGGCTGTGATAATGCCTCTTCAAGTTGTTGCTGATGCTTCTGCTGCTCAAGCGCTTGGCTATCCTGCAGCTTCAAAAATCTTGCCTCCGTCACTTCAAACTGCTTCTGAAGACTTTCTTTCTCCTTTTCAAGCTGTGCACAGCGTTCCTCAAGCTTCGAAAGATTTGCCTTCAAGTTGGAAGGCTGTGCCAAGGCCTCTTCAAGTCGTAGCTGACATTTCTGGAGCTCAAGTGCATGGCTATCCTGCAGCCTAACAGTTTTCGCCAGAGCCTCTCCTGATTGCTTCTGAAGACTTTCTTTCTCCTCTTCAAGCCGTGCACAGCGTTCCTCAAGAATTGAAAGCCTTGCCTGCAATTTGGAAGGCTGTGCCAACGCCTCTTGAAGCCGTTGCTGGAGCTTTTCTCTCTGTTCCCACTGCGCAGGTGTGTCTTGAAGCTGCGTCTGTAGCACTTCCTTCTCTGCATTGAGCCTTTTGCAGTCTGCCTTCAGCATCGCAAGTTGTGCTAAAGCTTCACTCATCTTCTGTTGCAGTGCCTCCGTCTCGAGCCTGCTGCTTTCCTCCACCTGCGACAATTTCCGTTCTGCTTCAGCACGCAGTGCATATTGTTCTCGACGATATTGTTCAGTCGAATCATAGAGCTCCTTTTTCACCAGAAACTCTGCGTTCTGTGCCAAGGCTTTGTCAAGCTCTTGTTGCTGCTCTTTGAGCTGCAACAAAAAATACTGCTCCTTGAGCTGAAACATCTTCAACTGCAAGCGATATTTTTCGGGGATGGCTTCTCCTGGCAGCTGGAGCCCATAGCTGCCATGGCACTGCTGCTTTTCCAAGTGGAGCCCACAAGGCTCCACATGCCTTACCTGAAGCATGCCACGTCTAGTCTCTGGGCAGCGGCAGCCTGAGTGGAGCAGTCCGTGGACATGGGCGTGGGCGCACGCATCCTGAGCCAAACAATTCACCATGCAATGCCTTGCACACCTTAGACCTACCTCGGTGTGTAGGAACAAGTAAGACAAGACCCAGTTCTTCAAAAGAATGTGTTCTATTGTGTTCTATTTATGTGCGAAAGCTCTCTTTATTTAAAAAAAATAAAAATAATAATAATAATAATAAACATACTGTAACATGTTCTATTGAAGCATACTTTTGGGAGGTTCCATCCAGAGTGGAGAATGGGTGTTCGATTCCCACGCCGGCTTTAAGCTCCAAGTCTGCTGCGTCGTTTTTCGAGCTCCAAGCTGCCGGAAGCGCAGAGCTGTAACGTTTCGGAAATGGAAGGGTGGATACCAAACCCTACGGGTCAGTTGGACTTCATTTGACCCATCTTGAGACAAAAGCACCATTCAAGGAGGTAGTTAGGACCAGATACTGGGTCAGACTGGACTTGTGGATACCAAATCTTGTGAATGTTTGAGACAAAAACAGCGCGACGGAAAACTGCGTCCAACCCTCTTCGAGGTCCCTGCGTCCAACCCTCTTCAAAATCCCACCGCAGTCTCCTCTCCAGGATCCAGCCACGTGCTGCCATCAACACCTCGAGGTCCAGTGTCCCTTCATGTGGCCATCGTTTCGGCGTTCAGCGTGGCCATCTGTACAGAAAACGACATGCTGGTTCAGGCTTCCCTTTTAGGTCCTTCCTCAGTGAGAAAGAACGATAACTATCAGACACTATTGCTAAAAACATGTACAAACTCACCAGACAAGGGTGACCCCGCAAGCTTGTGGGAAAGGGCTAAGGAAGAAAGGTTGGTGCCTGCGGTGCAGAATCGTTGCGAGTCGTTTTCTGATGTCTTCTGCTCCGTTCAAAGAAAACGAAAGACAACAACATCAAACCGGAAGTTGAACAGGTCGTCACAAGCCGAGTCGCGCAATTCTTTCCCACAGCCATCGAGCAAACAAGTCGGATGCACAGAGTTCCATGCTTGGACCCTCTCTGTAATCTTGTCTTGACAAGTACTGAAAGTTGAACCCACCCGAGAATTTCAGAGAACACGACCCGTTCTTAGGGACTTGATGCCGGGGATCTTCAGATCGCCATCTTGGACCGCCCGTCGTGGTGCTGTCCTGACCCATGGTGGGTTCCTTCACCAATCACAGATTTTCCTGACCCATGATTGGTGAACTCACTGGTATGTTCGCATCCAAGGATTCTCCCAACCCGTTTAGTCCATCGGTCCACGTTCTGAGTCTCCACACTTCCACACTCACTGGCTTCTTGACTTCCCAGACCTACAAGGAACGAGGTGCTTGAAAAGGCAAAGGAGCATACCACCATCTATATAGACAATATGAGATACCTGGGATTCCTGGCCAACCATTGTTTCAATGGTCTTTACCGAACGTACTAAGGATTTTAGACGACAAAACCAGGTCGACCATTCTTGAATGGTCGAACTGAAAGCTAGGCATATGTGTAATCTATTGCAGAAAAACAGTAAAGCACTCAGGACATCAACGAAAGTACAAGTCAAACCAAATCCTCTACCCACCAGCGGGGCGCTGAGTGGATCGCAATTACCCAGAGATCAGACTAGATCGACAGGCGGATCGCAGGCAGTTGGCAGAATGATCATGGAAGAGGTCAAGTACGGGGACGTCTTGCCATAGGAGCATCCAATTGGTCGTCTATGTTCCTTCCTTTTCTACAAGCAAACTGTTCTGAGTCCTGAATGTGTTGTTTGCTGTTCACATGCTTCATCAAAAACCGCTCATGGACCCATTCCTCTGACTCGGCCTCCAGAAGCGTCGCTCGAATTCCTCGAAGCGGGTGAGACACACACACAGGAAGGCATGCTTGGCCTGTCCATGAACAACCCACCAACAAAGCAATTTGCACCAACACCTCTTGACGATGGCGGAAATGCTGCGGCCACCGAAGTGCATTTTGGGGTTCCGACTAGCCTTGTTATTTCTGAGAGGGTTGATTAAGAGGGTTGATTACTTGACGACCTCTGAGACTGACACCAAAGTCTGCAGGTTCAGGTCAGGCCATGCGTTCACCCTTTTACAGGTAGGCGCTCGCTACTCATCGGAGCCCCCGGAGCAGTCGTGAGCATTTCACGTTTGCGGGGTCTTTCGAACATCCTCTGAGGTCCTGGCCAAACAATCCGCTTCCTTTCTCCCGTCTCCAAGTCGCGGTGTTCCTCGCTTTGGCGGGCCACGACACGTCCGTTCGTGTGCCAGGCTGGTGTCGGTGGCCGCAACTGCCGGTGTGTCCAAGCAGAAACCATTCTGGATGGATTGCTTCCCAATTGCAGCCACTTGCTAGCGGAATCCAGATCTGGCGTTTTCAAGCCATGGACGACTGGGTTCCAACCAGAACTGTTTCTGGTTGGGACTCGGTTCCAGGTTGGAACCAAAAAAATAACCAGCACGTCTTGAGAAAACATCGATGGAACCCCTCACTACAAACTCACCAACATCCACCCAAGATTCCAAGAGACCCCCAAACGGGTCGCCCTTGGCCACGGCTGCCCCTCTCACTCGGCTTCCCTGGCCCAAACGGTCAAATCCACTTCGAAGGTTCTGCCCTCGCGCAGGCAGTGCAGGCACATGGACCCGCACAAAAGCACCAGGACCATCCTGCTGTCCGAAGCTCACAAGTATAGTGTAGAACAAAATGAGCGACTTTTTAAGAGAACTCAGGGACTTACCACTTACAAAAATATACATGTATACAAATAATGTCTAATGTCGTACGAAATATTGTATTATATGCCATTATGTGCATAGTCTTTGGGCTGTTGCTTGGGGGTGGAGTTCACAGAATTCCACTGGCTAGCAAAGACTCCTCAGAGGCCCCATCAAAGAGTGATGATTGCTTTTGGGCCTGCCCCATACGCCATACGCCAACAAAGTACAAATATACAGCCCTTTGCCACGCACGGACTGTGCGCTCGCCTTCAGGGCATAGTCCATTCGTTGCTCACCGCAGTACCAGGCCACCAAGAGCTGTGCGGAGATTTCGTGATCCAAACGGACCCATTGACCTTCGCCTTCCTGTGGAACAGTGTGGGGCGTGTTGGACGGGACGGAAAGGTGAGAGTCGGCGGTCGCAAAGTATCCACGGCGGTCGCACTGGTTGGTCCGGTCCATGTGCGGATGCCCAAAATAGAGAAACAGGTAGACCAAATTCGTCGGCGGTCGCAACTAGTTCCATCAGTCATTTCATGCTTCGAATCCGGAGAAGTCTCCCGTGTGACGACGGACTTTGGACTACAACACCGGGTCTGTCCCATACCAGGGCCCCCTAAGGGGTGTCCAATAATAGATCTTTAGAGGTTAAGGGATGTCCATTAACCACCCCTATCCGGAACCCCTGGTATATATGAAACGGTCTGGGAAGGCTGAGATGTTCACAGCTCCAGAAGACCCAGCTCGCTCGAGTCGGTCGCACCGCGGGTCAGGTTTTGAGCGGTCCAACCCGCGGACATCGGAGCAGAAGATCGCTTCGGACCTGGACCTGGAGGACTACAACACCCGTCGTTTTTGAGTCCAAGACAGTGTCAAAAAGGTGGGACGGTCGACCAGGTGTTGTAGTGTATCATCCTTCGTTTTCATGGAGCGAGCCGTGAAAGACGGTTGAATCAATGGTGGAAGCCCAACGGGGCCGTCTCCAAAGGTGGATCGCGTCTTCTCCAAGGGCCAAAGGTATGGACCGATCGCATAGACTGCGATTTGAACCGAACCTGTGTGTCGGTCTCCCTGTTTGAGCTACACACCTCGAATACCTGGCCCTCGAATACCCCACGTAGTGGAAGGGGAGGGGGTAGTCGAAGCAGATCGCAAGTTAGGTTAGAAGCTGGAGCTGGAGTCCTGGAGTGGTGATCCTGCAAACTAGTGGGCCACCACTCCAGCTTTGAAAAGGTTGCATTTCCCTAACGGAGTGATCCACTTGTCAGTGCACAGTGTTCTCCACCAAAGAGAATCAAGACCTCCCAAAAAGTACATCTTTCTTGAAAAGGCCTCCTGTCCCAAAAAAGAACGTTGAGCCATTCACCCACCCACCCTCAGCCATTCACCGGCCTCTATGAGCCATTCACCGCCTCAGACGCGAGAGTGAAGTGAACCGCGAGGTCGCGGCTGCAGCGTCGCTGAGTGAGGCATGTGATGAGGCGTCGTTCGTAGCGTCCGATCGCTTGCCCTTTGTTGCTACTAGTAGCTTCGTGCTACTAGCAGCGATGGCCTCCAACCTACTTGCGATGGCCTCCACCGAATAGCGTCCTTGCTACTAGCAGCTGAGGCGTGGCCAGTCGCGCTCGGGCGATCGAAATTGGAGAAGCTCTCCCAGGACGCCCAGGTCAGGAGTGAGTTTGAGGTGGTTAGGCTGGGATGTGGCATGTCTGGGATAGGGTTCCCAGCATTTCCCAGCATCAAATAAGCAATTTGAGAACCATCTTTGCTGGGGGCTCAGATTTGACCCGGCAGTGCGGCACAGCATGTGAACGGCCTCTCTGTGTTGGTGGTCTAGAGGGGCTTGGAATTGCCCTCAGCTGCTGAAGGGTTTAGTACAAGCATCTAACCCAGACCTTGTCCCATTTTCCCCCATCCTGAGATCTTAATCTCCCTGGAATCCTGAGATCATCCTGGAATGGGTCCTCAAAATCCTCCTGAAGTCCTGCCGAACGCCTTCGGTCTGGCTCGACTCTTCCGTCCCGGAGCTCCCGGCCGAGGTAGACCTCTGGCGCCACCGGCTCCTGGCGATCGATCCCGGCCTCCCAACGAGACGTGGGTCCTTTAGATGATTCCAACTAGCCTGTGGCACTATGGACTATGGGCCCTTGAGTTCCTCATAGAATCATCAAAATCATCGGAGGTTTTTGGAGGGAGGCAGCCTGCAAGAAGGTCTGGTGGCGCGACCTCTTGGGGAGACCTCTCTACGGTAGACCCCTATGGCAATAACCCTAAGAATCCGGACCCGAACCAAAGGAAGGGATAGCACAAGCATCCAAATCCCCTCTGAATCCGTGCCCCACCATGGAGGGTCCAAGGAGGGTCCATGGAGGGTCCAAGGAGGGTCCATGGAGGGTCCAAGGAGGGTCCATGGAGGGTCCAAGGAGGGTCCATGGAGGGTCCAAGGAGGGTCCATGGAGAGTCCAAAGGTCACCACCACTTCAGTGCCGCAGCCGCACGCTCCGCGGCCTGCACGTCTTGCGCCGCCGCGTTGGCGTCGAAGGCTGCCTCGAACCAGGCGATTCGGCATTGCCTCGGCTTCGGGATTGGCGGTTTGTGCCAGCTGTGCCAAGTGAGCAGATCCATCTTTCGTGAGAAGGCCGGTTTTTCTGCATGCATCGGTCGGTCAATTGAGCCCAAAAAAGGCTGCGGTCGATTGCGACCCATGACCAACCAGAACCGACCCAACCAGAACAGTCGTTGGCAACGAAGGATTTCGACTCGTCGCCCTGAAGAAGCGAAGGAAGCAGCTGGGCTGGGGACCGTCCAGTCTCCTGATGGGTCTGGAGTTGGTTGTAGA